GTACCTACATAAAAATTATTGCCTTTGTATTTGAGTACGCTTTTGTAGGTAATGAAAAATTCAAATTCAGTGTGTATTCGGAAATGCGGTTTAGCTGAATTCGGCTTTTCTATCTAAATGTATACAAAATAACCATATGTTAATGCATTTTTGAATTTATTTAATTTTATGTGCATTTGGGTAAATATAAAAACAATGTATTCATATTTCACTTACACTATAATTGTAAGTACATCGTTTGAATTAAAATATTCTGAAAATATTACTGCCTGAGTTAACAACAGTACATATACTTATATTTTATTATGATTGGCAATATAAAAAATTTTGTTTTTACCTGATAAATACAAATTGCAATATGAAATTTTGAATTTATTTTCAATATTGTAAATAAGTATTGTCTTACAATAAAACTAATAAAATACATGAATTAACCCCTTCAGTTCTAACTGCACTTTTTATTCACTATTTTTTCTATTTTAGAAAAAATCGTCTTGATAAAATTTATACCGAATGGAATATGTTCTAAAAAAAGTATAAATGTTTTCGGAAAAGGATGGTTTCTATGGCAAGAAAGGGTTAATGTATACACTTATGTAAAATGAAGCCAAAATTTGTTTGATCGCTTCTCAGTTACTAGTAAACTGCTTATTCAATCACCTTAAAACTTTGGGAGTTTTATTTAGAAGAGTGGTTCCCAGGATGACCTAAAAAAGAAAAAAGAATTTTTTGAAAATCTGTTTTAGGAGATTTATTAGTATTCTACTCGTGTTCAAATTCCCGAAAATCTGGGATCTTGATGTAAAATATCAAGAAAAAGATTTTATTCCGTTCGAAAAACTAGTTAAAAAACACTGCCAAAAATGTAAATTTTAAAAAATATTGTTATCTTGCTTCTTGTGTGATCGGTGGGACGCGTGACGGCCAGCTTTCAAAGTTCAATACTCTTTTTAAAATAGATTTACACACTTATTTATAAATTTCGCTATTAATTTGATTTTACCAAGAGAAAAAAATGGTTATCCGACTGGTATTTGAACCCGAAACCCTTTTAAATAGTTCATAGGTCTATTCTATTTTTATTTTCTATTCAACTCCATATATTTCTCTCTCTCTATTAATTTATTTATAATAATACTTAATAATCATAAATTTTTTATTATATAACTAGCAGGATACCTTGTCTATAAATACTTACATTTACAGATATCTATAATAGATTATAAGTACAAACATATATATATACTTAGTACGAATGTAACTATGAAAGGCAAGGCAAGTATACATTAACGATTCAAATATATATAGCTATCTGTATATATATGTATATATATATACGCATATATGTGGATAATATTCAGAACATTTTATATGATTTATAAAAGGGACATTTGAGTCAGGCAAACCGTTTTTATTTTTCCCTTTATTCTCTATATTTTTCAATATTCTGTTTGTGTTGTTGTTGCTATTGTTGTTATTGCTGTTGTTGCTGTTGTCATTTCCCTTATTTTTGAATACGTATACATACGCTCATACTTTTGAATATATTTTGTGTAACAAAATAACAAGAACAACAAAAATAAGGGAACGAAAAAAAAAAGATAGAAATTTTATTTTTCATTTTCATTCTTTTTTTTCCCTTAAACACATTAAGTATATACATATGTATGTAATTATGTATAATATTTCTATACGATTAGATACACACTCTTACACACACTTTTCATACATAAATAATCCTTATACAATTTACTAACATTTTATAAATACACGAGAAAATTGTAATATAGAGAAATTGATTCCCTTTGTTAAAAACGAAACCAACATTAGAGAAACGAAACCAATATAATTTTTCATCTACTTTACTCTTAATATTTTAACTATTAATGTACATATTTTGGGGACCAAAACAAAAATAAAAAAAAATGAAAGCTTGCTTAATACAACAAAAAAAAAAAACAAGAAAAACAGAAAATTTAGAACAAAAAAATTAGACTCCTTAAGGATTCTGTTTATTTCCAAAAAAAAAAATAAATTGAGAAAAAAAATAAATTCTAAAATGATAAATTACAAGGTCAAAATCAATGAGTTATTAAAGAGAAAAATATATATATACATATATATGTAATTGGAAGCACTTGTAATTTGTAAGTAGTGAAAAATTCAAAATTAAATTTTTTCAAAGTTTCTAAATACGAAAAAGTTCATAAATTACAGAACTACGCCTACATTTAAATCTTGTCTTAGAATTTTATAGAAAAATTATTAAGAATTTATCAACATTTTTCAGAAAAATATTACCATTCTAGCAAAATTTTAAGTAAAAGTACTCAAATTTTACTTAACACCTTAGAAGTAAAATCTATTTCTAAAAGTATTTAGAAAAACAAAATGCTACCATAGAAGCTGTGTACGTTAATGCTGTTGTTCAGAACACAATGAAGCTTTTTTATTGACGATATGTTGCAGTAGATTCTTCTAATCAATCTAAGACAAAATGTAATGATGATTGTATTCTTTTTATGGGTGCCCTGCAAATGATAGAATTCTTATGATAGTTATGTAGATGTGCTTAAGGTTAATTATCAGATTTGTAGAATAAAATTAATTACAGGATCTTAGCATGCCGTTATGAAATGATATTGTATCTAAACAACTGCTCTTTGCGGGCATCGATTTGTTATTTGTTCTGAGGGAAAGTTTTTTGATACTACAATAATTTTAATAATATTTTATTACATTTTATTCTTTATTATAAAAAAAAATTTAACAAATTTCAACTTTTATCACATAAATTTTAAATTTTTCCTATATTTGAACCATTTTATAATTTTATTTAACCTGAAAAATTGCTTTCATTGCATCCAACTTCTGTTTTTATATGAAAAATTTAATTGCGAACTTTTTCTAAAACTCGAATTAATTTCGAAATTAAGTTCTTATGTTAGTATAATTTGCAATAACAGATTAAAATTTCAAGTCGACTAACCATATGGGTACCAGTTTATGATAAATCCTGCCCTGCTTATATTTTCTGTAAGTATACCATTAAAAGGAATACAGACATTATGAACGCAGGTTTTTATTATAAATTTTTCTGCTGTACTAAATACTTCTCTGAGTATACAAAACATAGCTCTCATAATAATTACATATAAGTACTTAATGTTAATTATCCGATTTATGACACTTAGTGTCTGTACAAAGTTTTCTTGCTACAAGTAGTGACAAATATTAACAGCAATATCGTTAAAAATAATGTGAATTTGGAATTTGTAAATGACCAACTGTTGTCATGGTTCGTTGGACATTTAATATAAGTATGACAAATGAGACAAATTAAACCGTGTTTGTAAGAACCAAACAATTAAAGTTTCCCAATTTTCCTTTAATTCATTATTTTATAGAATAATCAAATATAAATGAACACTTTGGTAAAAAATAATGAAAAATTTTATTTTTCAATCATTTTTTTTTGTAATTCTTCCGGGTTGAAAATTTTTTAATTTTTCCATTATTAAAATTAAATAAACTAAAAGTAAAACTAAAAATTATTTAAAATTTTCTTAAAATTTGAATTAAAATATAAAATGTAAGAAAGAACAAAATTCTGAATATTTTTTTTTTTTTTCATTAATTTTTCTTAACCTTCAATTTTATTCTCACATTGTCTTGATTCTAAAAATAATTTACTTAAATAAAATATACGTATGTATGTATGTATGTGTATGAAAATATGCATAATGTATAAGTAAGTAAGTATATAATGAAAATTGCAAGCTATTTACTAATTAAATTCGAAAAAGAAAAAAAAAAGATTTTTTCTTCTTTGTTTTTAGAATTTTTGTCAAATATAAATTGAGTTTCGCCTTTGATTCCCAAATCTCCTTCACCTGATTTAGTCAGAAAAAATTTGAAAAGAGAATTTTTCTTAACTAATATTAAAGTTTAGTTTTTAATTTAATTACTTAAATACTTACTTAGTATTCATTCCATTCTAGATGTAAAAACACTTGTTACACAAAATAATACGATAGCCCTTTACAGTATTACAATCCCTGCCTTTTAAAACAACAGAGTCATGAATTTTTTCTATGTGCCTAAAATGAGAACCGCGAATAAAAGCAAGTGGTTATTTTTTCTTATCAAAACTGCAAATTTTAATTAATTTTTTTTGCGCTCATTTAGCAGATGCAATATGTTCGTCAATTTATTACAAACTTAGACCCCGTTTTTCTCAGTAATATAGTAGTCATTTACTCTTTTATATGGTTTTCTCTCTTACTGTTTTATTGTTCTCTTATAAAATTTTTATAATAGACTTGGGTAATTTTAATCTAAATTGACAACGTGGCTGTCCTAAAATAAACACATTTTTTGAAAATATTTGTATGTAGGTGTAGAAGATTACGAACATTATATTACTTTACTTATACATATTACATTCTTTAAAATAAAATTTAAAATAAGGTAAAAGTCCCAATTATCGTCAGAGTAATTAAGGCTAGCGTACAAATCAGATCCATACTTGCTATAAATTTTATATTTTATATTTTGCTTATTAATTATTTAATTACCTATATTTATTTTGTTAATTTTATAAATAGGTACTTAACGATATAGTTACTTACTTAGCGTAATTTCAGTTTTTATAATCAAAATTTGTTCAATAGATGCATCATTAGCTATAAAACATCTTAACTCTCTTACTACATACTAGGCGACCAAAATTCAATATTTTATTTGTAATATTATAAACTGGCGTTAGGACCGCTATTTATCTGTTATATTTAATATTGTATTGTAAACTATACACCTTTTATATACTTACTCACTTGGAATTATTGAACATACTAAGGGACTTAATTTCATTTAAACTGTTTGAAATTATAAGTAATTATTTTATTAAATATTTTAACTTTTATTGTATAACAACACTTTTATACTATTTTTATACTTACTTAAATTTTTTTTTTTACTCTTACTTTCTTTCATTACAGTAACTCTGTAATTTCATCAATATCTTCACAATATGTACGTAACTGCTTAATAACTGAAGGCATTTAAAAAAAAAAACAATTTATTAGTAATTTTGGTAATATTAGAGTTAATAAATATGAAATAAACCATTTTTTAACTTATTTTGCATACATACACACTCCACATACTTATTAAGTTCTAAGATCTTAAAATAATTTATGATTTTTTTTCTCATATTGATTTTTATTTAAGTATCTATGAAAGATAAAATTATTGGAATATAAAAATTTGTTTATTACTAACCATTTTTAAAATTATGATTTTTTTTAATTTTTATAGTAAAAATTTAATAACTCTTATTAAAGTAAAGTTTTTCTTCAAAAGAAAACGAGTAAATAATTGCATGGTTTTGCGAAAAGCAAAAAGAAAAAAATTGAAAATTCCATAAACACTTTGATATATGATACGTTTAAATATACATATATATATATATATATATATATATATATATATATATATATATATATACCTATATATATATATATACCTATATATATATATTCACAAATGGTAGTTTATTACTGCTATCGCTTTTAAGTCAATGATAGCTTTATTAAAGCACACAATACTTACCCGCGCTGCACTACGATTAAAAGAAAAAAATCTGAAAATTTTACAGATTTTTTTGTTTTCTACTTTTATTACTTACTTATTTGCATATATATAAGTATATATATACACACATATGGCTATGTTAATATATTTAATAAAAATATATGTAATTTGAGACTAATTATATATATGTACAGGGTGGTCCGGAAGTTTAATGTTAAACTGCTCTTTAATTGAGAATTACTTTAATTGACAAACGATGTGACATGAAAATTATGTATGGCTGTAGAGGATGATCTAATGCATCGAAAGAAAAAAAAAAAACAAAAATATGGTGAACTTTTTTTAAGATAATCAAGATTTCTTTAAAAAATTTCCAAAAATTTTAATCCTTAAATTTAATATTTAAGCACCAATTACTCGAAAATGGTAAGTTTAACATCAATCATTGCCATTTTACCGCTGTGTAGGTCTATTAACTGAGAAAAGTAGTTGCAAACATCTCATTGTTCTCGCTTTAATGGCTTCAAATAGGATGATAAGGATATTGATCAGACACAATTTTTCAATCTGATATTCTTTTATTCCTTAAAAAAAAAGTACTCCTCCAAGGAATCACTTCTCTACAGCTTAATTACCAATTTGGAGACTACCCTGTACATAACTACTGGTTATGATTTTAAGTTTTAAAATTTTAGTAAACAAGTAAGCAAATGCTCTTAATTTTCCTTTCCTCTTAATTTTTATATTAAACATTCACAAACATTTGAAGAATCATAAACAATATTTAAATATAAATTAAATAATGTATGTATGTATACCGGGTGTTGTTGAAACAACCGGGGGTTGGTTTCACTTTACACTATTCAAGCAAAAAACTTCTTTTAAATTAGGTTTTGTTAGTTTTTTAAATCAAAAACAATCGCAATAATTGTCTTAATTTATTCAATATAGTTCGATATACCAAATTATAGTTTAACTAACAGGGGCTCCAGATGATTTAAAGTATGGGAAGCTTACAATGTTTTTTCATATTTATGAGAAAATACGCTTCATTCACATTCATTTTGAAAATCATTTTTAATCGACTGTTTTACATAAAACCGGAACTACACTCATATTGCAAAAAAAAAATTTGTCTAAAACGACTTTAAAGCCATAAGTATTTCGGAATCTGTTGAGCTGTTGGTGTCGAACACAAAAATTTCAACAAATTTATTCATAATAATCTGCACAACGGAATATAACAAACTATCTGGGATTTAATACCCCTATATATTTATTATGTTTAGAATTTAAAATAAACAATTAGCTTTATGTCTATGTCAAGGTGTCAATTATTAATGTACTTACCTATATATTATACACAATCAACCTCTTATGTATTTTAATTTCGACAAGAGAATATTAACAATGCAAAAAACAAAACATAATCTTAACATTTAATTTAAGTGACTACGAGTATATTTTTTTTTTTATGATTTGATCTTGAAAATTTTTTCAATTGTTTTCAATAATCAGTTACTTACAAGTTGGTAGTTAAGATTTATGAAAATTAACCATAAGTGTAATTATATAACTACAATATGTAAGTATATAATTGCAATTATTGAAGCACCTGTAATTAAAAATCGACATTCCTGGCATTCAAAATCTTATTCCTTTTAGAATTATGTGTATTGACAATAAGATCCAGTAGTATGTAAACATCACGTTTACTCTAGAAAGTAATATGAAGAATAATTTTCCAATTAATTTCTTCATACCTCTGTAGCTCATTTGGTAGATCGTCCGCTTAGACTATTCTGACTCATTCCTTCGACTAATTCCATTTGTTCTAACAGTTGTATGAGTGAATTTTCATTGTTTATACAAAAAAAACTCATTATCTGCTTTGATTAAGAAACTAAAAAATACAAGATTAATTGTTAAATGAACTGTATTTGTGCCTAAGTATTTTCAATAATTAGTTATCTTTGGTTTCTAGTCATTTTCAGACACACACACTTTAGCCATACAAAATCAGTATAATCTTTTGTTTTTGATAAAAAGAAAATTTGTCGAATTAAAATCAAAATTATCTAGATGAATAAATAAATATAGAAATTTTCAGATAATTTTTAAAAAAATTATAATCTGAATGAGTTCAAAATTCAATTAGTACTCAAACGTATTCACAATTAACTTACTTATAGAAATTTTATCAAATTCTTATGAATCATTTTGAATTTATCAAAACTGTAATCATTTCATGTGACTTATAAATTTCAAAAATGTATGAAAACAAAGAATAAACACTTAAAATATTTGTTTAAAATAAACAAAAAAAAATTTTTTGTTTCCTTGTTTATTTATTTAGAAAGAATTTATTTTATGAAAAGGGCTAAAATTGGGATGAATTGTAGAAATCAAAAAAAAAAAAAATCCAGTAAAATATCAACTTAGAACAACACACAAAACTGTCAAGCATACCAAATAAGCTAGTAGAATTTAGTTTTTTGTACTTACTCCTGAAATATCACAAATTTTTATAAAAACTGTATATTTTATTGTTATACTAAAAAAAATGCATACATACTTACATTTTTCAAGTAATTATTCTCAAAAAAATTTTCTGTTATCTCCCACATACGTAAATCGAATAATAGTAAGTTTACCACTGCCGAAATTGCCGTCGATAAAAGAAACAACAGTAAAATTGATACTCAAAGAGAAATTTGGGTTTCATAATAACGGTACATCAATATATCATTTTATTTGTTCGATTAATTGAGAGACGTAAATTAGAATCATTGTGATGAAAATTTCGAAAATTTTATTGTAGTGACAATATGAATCAATTGAAACTTCAAAATTTTGACATTTAGATATGTTTATAATAAAATTTTGTTCGAAAATAATTTGACAATAATTTATTATTTTGGATAATTGTGTTGTGTATACACACATAGTTTATAGTGATATACAGAAGACAATTTTTGTAAATACACAAACCAACTACGTTTTAAAACAAAATTTTTTAAAAATTTCAATTAATTGTAAATGATCCTACTACTGAAGTTACATAGTTGAAAATTGACACCTTAAACATACTAATTATGGTGTTCCAATAATACAGAGTATAAAAGTCGTAAATTTCGAATATTTTCCGAATAATAACAAAATATTGACTTCGAATTCCTAACCTTCCCGTTTGTTTTCGTAAATTTTTATTTTGAAGTTGCTGTCAATATTTCTTTTAGTTTTATTTTATTCTCTTTAATTCAAAATTTCATTTCATTATTCACAATATAAGATTTTTACCTTAACTGTTAAATATTAAAAAAATAAAAAATTTATTTTTCTCTCTTACACATTTTGTTTTTATTTTTTATAATAATTTTATGAAATGACGAATGGAGTTGTTAAAATAATAGTAATAATAAAAATAAAAAAAAAAAAGAATTAAAATGAATTGTATATGAAGTCTGACGCTGCCTTTATACACGCAAAAACTCTAACGAAGCATAAAACGAGGTCAACTTAAAATTTTAATTACAAGTTTTATAGCTCTGTACCAACAAACAAACATACAATAAAAAAAAAATAATAAGCATAATAAAGAAATAAAACTGTAGAAAAACAAAATGAATACATTCATACTTTTAAACATAAGTAATCAAACACACTCATACACACACACACACATGTTCACTCACGTACGTTTTAAAAAAATGTTGGTTTTTTTTTCCCTGTGTCAAAAGCTTGAATAAAATTTTTGCTGCTTTTAATACAGCGACTGAAAACTGACTTAATATTTTTTTTTACCTGGTTTTGTTGCTTTCAGTCCATTCAGGTAACAAAAAAAAAAATGATTTTTTTTTTTAAATTTTTGTTTAAATTTTGCTTTTTTTTTGGTTTAAGTTTTATTGCTGTGTAGTTTTTGTGTTTTTAATGAAATTTGCATCTAAAATTTTGATATTCTGATATTTTTTCTTTGTCTTTCTTCATGAATTTGTAATAATGACGGTAGAATTCTTATGAAATATAATTGTTGACTGTTGTTGATATTAAGTCAATTTTGGTGTTTTTATTTTTTTTTTGTTAATATTTTGTCCAAATTAATAATATATTTAAACCTAAGTTGTAACTAGTGGAATAACTATTAAGTATGATTTAAGCAAAAAAAAATGTTTAAGCGTCTTTATTTTAACGAAACATAAAGAGAACAACTAAAACCGATTTGGTCGACTTAATCAATTCTATTATACCCAACAATCTGATTACAAGAATTAGTTTTATTTAACATTAATCTTTTGGGGTTGCGTGACAGCTCTCCGAACTCATGACTACCTAACTGCATGCAGCTATATAGCGTTATTAGTTTTTGTAATACATACATACTTATTTAAAATTATTTTTTTGGAATTGTGACAGGACCCATTGTTCAAATTGGCCCAATT